TGATGTAACATATTGAATTCAATAGTACAAATACGTACCGTTCCCGCCAAGATTCTGTATATATGTTAAATGTTTTAATTAAATAGATCTCTTCACTTTGGCTTAGCTGATTGACGAGTATACAAGATGTTTGTTACGTACACTTATTGATTTAGAATACAGGATATGTACATCCCTTTGGCAAGCCTTTTCGCTTAAGCCTTTGACGATTTTTTTTATACTACGATGGCGGGCAACAAACATACGATTCATGTAATAGTAATCGGTTTACCATGTATATGGACGTCTGAGACACCAGCGGTGTCACGTGCGCGTTGTCGACCCTTAAAAAATCTTAATGTACTCTTAAAAAACCCCATGTTGCAGTCTCCCCAGAAAACTTCGGCAGGAAGTTCATTCCACAATCTAAGTGAAAGGAAACGTGGAAGGAAGCTCCTCTGAAACCGTCCGAGACCATTTAGGTTCCAGCGTGTGGGGCTGAATTCCCTATCTATGGCGAGTGGTAAAAATATCTGTGGTGTATGAGAATACATATATAATTATAATAATAATAACCCCCGAACCATTCACACAGCGCCATCTAGTCTCAAGCAAAGTATAGATTGTTTTACCAGGAGTATATAAAAAAGGAATGCGAAGAAAATCTACATATGAATGTGGTCTTTCCGCTTCAGCTTGTAACTTGCATTTAATCTAATACTATTCTCCAAAGAAAGTCCCAATTTTTAGAGCAAAAGCGTAAATGTATTATTAAAACGAATTGGTTACTTAAGGAACTCGGTTATTAGAGTTTGCCGCCATTGTAAAATGACTTTACACTCTAAGAAACAATACCGTAACTTCGGTTTAGTTTGAAAAATTCAATTATATGGGTTCATTTTGCGGAGCGCGCGGTAACTTTTTTAATTCTTTATGGCCGGAGACATCGCAATGCGCTGAGAATTATCTAATGCGAATCACACTGCGAATCGTGTCCTTCTGTACATTTTTACTATTTTATAATTCAGTTAGCTGAATTAAAATGTATAAAGAAGAATTACCATAAATAATAAAACTTCAGCTAAGATTTTATTATTTCTTCGAGTCGTGTCTTTCTGTAAATTTATAGTTTTTTTTATAAATTTACTAACATTATGATATTTTGGATTGTATTTTTGGTTGTACATAATAAAATCCTAGCCTAGATTTGATTATTTTTATGAGTCGTGTCTCTATGTACATTTTTATTTTTTTATAATTCAACTAACATTATGTTATTGCGGACCGTATTTTTTGGTTGTACATAATAAGATTTCAGCTCAGACTTTATTATTTATTCTTTGGGCTTCTTATTAGTGTAGATATAAAATAAAAGTTCGACTTACGGTTGATATATATATTGTCCCAACACGTAAATACAGTTACACTTAGATAGGAAGAAAGTATATACAGTAGAAGGAGAAGAAAGTCACAAGCACAGTAAAGAAATAAGCACAGAATGAATATAAGCACTAATGAATAAGGTGATATAAATGAGAATAAGCAGAGCAATATCAATTACAGTACGGCCGATTTATCAAGCGAGTAGCGAGCGTTCCGCGTCATAGATAGTTCTCGACTGGTTTGGTAATATCGAATTGAATGTGCGCTCGCGCTGTTGGCCGGTTCCTCGGCGCTAGTCAGCGCGCAAAACCTACATAGCGAACAAAAGAGTTGTGACGTCAACCTCTTATTGAGCGTTTCCACTGCACGCTGCAATTGTACTAGACGAACCGGTACGGTTTAATATTGATAAAGTGTAAATAAATATTACGTATATATTTATGTATAAGTATATGTATATTGTATATAATTAAGGTTATTATTATTAAATAATTGTATGTAATAAATATTTGTAAATAACTATAAATAAATTTATGAAACTGTGTATTTATGTGTGGGAATCGCCTACACCACCCCCCACCAGAGACCGTCAGGGGCGATAAAAATTTGTAAACTTCACACGCCGCCCAGAGCGAGTGATACGGTCTTTGTGAACTTCAGGCTGGGGTTCCTCATCTTGTTCTCTAAGAATGAAAGCCGGTTTTAATCGGTCTATAGAAACCGTGACTTCCTTATTTTTGTGGAGTATTTTAAAAACTTTATCTCCTCTAGTTAGAACCCTATGTGGGCCAGAGTAAGCGGGTTGGAGTGAACCACGTGATGCGTCCTCACGTAGGAAGACGTGATCACTGGTGGTTAATTCCTTGTGGATGAAACATTTTGTGGTGCAGTGCCGCGAAGCGGGTACCGGACGTATGTTTTCAGCAAATTTTCTAAGGCGAGCGGAAAATTCTGATATATCAGTGGTTCCGGGTACTGTGGCCTCAAAAAATTCGCCAGGTAGTCTTAACGGCTCGCCGTATACTAATTCTGCCGACGAAGCCTGTAACTCGTCCTTAAATGCGGTTCTTACACCGAGCAAGACCCACGGCAAGGATTCTGTCCACTGGTCATTAGCGTGACATACTATTGCCGCCTTGAGTTGCCTGTGGAAGCGCTCCACGAGACCGTTGCATTGTGGATGGTATGCGGTCGTCCGTTTATGCTCAAAACCAGTCATTTTGGACAGACTTTCGAACAGTGCTGATTCAAATTGCCGTCCACGGTCGGTTGTAATGACTAATGGGCAACCAAAACGAGCAATCCACGATGACAATAAGGTTTTCGCCACAGTCTCCGCAGTAATGTCTTGTATCGGTACTGCTTCCGGCCATCGTGTGAAACGATCTACGCCAGTAAGACAATACCGATAGCCTTGCGAGACTGGCAGCGGACCTACCAGATCAATATGAATCTGAGTGAATCTCGCCCGTGGTAATTTAAAGTTGGCAAGAGGGGAATTGACGTGCCGATTAATTTTTACACGTTGGCACGAAATGCAGACGCGTGCCCAGTCCCTACAATCTTTCCTAACACCTGGCCAAACGAACCGTTCCGCTATTAATTTGGCGGAAGCTTCTTGTCCAGGGTGGCTAAGGGAATGCAGGCTATTAAAGACTTGCTTTCTGAAGGGTTTTGTTACAAAAGGCCTGGATGTCGCTGTACTGACGTCGCAGTACAAGGGTAAGCGACTTCCAGGTATATGTAGTTTTTCGAGGCATAAAGATGATCCTTCCTCGATGAGTTTTGCTAACTCAGCATCGGTGACTTGACTTTGGGCTAAGAGGTCGAGATCTACTGGACTGCTCAATTCATCAATACGCGACAGAGTATCCGCGACGACATTATCCTTGCCGGATATGTGCCGAATGTCGGTGGTGAATTGAGAGATGAAGTCCAGGTGCCTATACTGCCTAGGCGAGCAGTTTGTCTTCCTTTCGTGGAATGCGAAACTGATCGGCTTGTGGTCGGTATAAACAATAAAGTGCCTGGCTTCGAGCATGTGACGGAAATACTTTATAGCTTCGTAAATAGCCAGTAACTCACGATCGTAGGGGGAATATTTTTCTTGGGAAGTTGTTAACTTCCGGGAGAAGAAAGCTAAAGGTTCCCACAGATCGTTTTTATACTGCTGTAAGACAGCACCCAAAGCCTTATCGGATGCGTCCGTCACCAATGCTAACTTAGCACTGCAGTCTGGGTGGGCTAACAAAGCTGCGTTAGAGAGTCCGTCCTTACAGGACTCAAATGCCGATAGGGTGTCACCTGATAAATTGATTGGGTGTGATCCTTTTACAGCCCCAGTCAGCAACGCGTTTAAAGGAGCTTGAGTTTGGGCAGCTTGAGGAATAAATCTCCTATAAAAGTTGAGCATGCCCAAAAATCTCCTTAACTGACGTACGTTGGTGGGGGTAGGAAAGTCCCTTATGGCCTGCACTTTGGAGTCCAGTGGTTTGGTGCCATGCTCAGAGATATTGTAGCCTAGAAAGGTTACCTCTTTAGCCCCGAAGACACACTTGGACGTATTAACCAGCATGCCATAGTCTTTTAGCCTCATGAATACCTTACGGAGGTGATCCTCATGCTGTGTCTCGCTCCTAGAGAAGATTAGAAAGTCGTCGAGATAGCAATATACGAAATCGAGGCCTCGGGTCATCTCATCGACAAATCTTTGAAAGGTTTGCCCCGCATTCCTAAGACCAAAGGTCATGAAGGGAAATTCGAATAACCCGAATGGCGTAGTTATTGCTGTCTTCGATATATCGTCAGGACTGACAGGTATCTGATTGTATGCCTTCACGAGATCCAGCGTACTGAAGACTTTACAGCCTGAAATGCTGTGTGAAAAGTCGTGAATATGCTTAATCGGATACCTGTCAGGCACTGTACGAGCGTTAAGCAACCTGTAATCCCCGCATGGACGCCAACCGTTGTCCTTCTTTGGCGCTAGGTGCAGAGGCGATGACCAGGGGCTCTCCGAAGGCCGGGCTGTGCCGCTGGTGATCATCGACTGAAATTCCTGTCGCGCTATTTTAAGTTTATCGGGGGCTAGGCGACGGGGTGAGCTAGATACTGGAGGGCCTGGTGTCGTGCGGATATGATGGACGGTGTTGTGTGGTATTGTGTGATGTGTACCAGCTGGTCTAGTGATATCTGGAAACTCATCAAGAATTTTATGATAACGAGAATCACCAGTCAAGACCTTTACAGAGTGAACATTTTTACAATCTACAGATGTGGCAACAGAAAATATAGATGTAGTATTATCTATCAGCTTTTTATTGCGGCAATCTACTATTAAATTATAAAATTTTAAAAAATCTACTCCTATAATAGGTTTGGTTACATCAGCAACTACGAAGCGCCAACTATAGTCTCTATGCATACCAAAATTTAAAGTTAAATGTACATAACCGTATGTTGATATAGTTGAGCCATTAGCTGCACACAACTCGAAGTTAGTAGGGGCACGACGGTCACGCAGCGCCGACCGAAGACACAGAGGTCGCTACCAGTGTCGACCAGGAACTGTAACTTCGAAGATCGGTCGGTAACGAAAAGGCGACCAGTAGTAGAGGATGGGCAATCGTCAGCCGCCATTACCGACTGCCCATGGAGTTTCCCGCCATTTTAAAGTCACAGGGGTGGATACAGTGGCTGGCCTTATCGCCGAATTTACTGTGGTACCAGCAGATCGGGAATTTGCGGTAATTAGACTGTGACCGCGATTTTGACCGAGATCTACTGCGCGTGGTACGTCGAGATGGTCGTTGCTGGTGCTGTTGCTGAATGCCTCTATTAGTCGTCAGCGACTGCATTTGCCTACGAAGCTCCGCGACTTCCCTTCTAAGGTCACTGAGCTCCGTATTAGAGGAGGCCTGGTTCATAGAAGCTACCCTGGGCGACACTACAGTGAGGTCGTTTACCCGGTCTGCCAAATCTGCCAAGTCATCCACGTGAGTAGTGGCAGGCTGTCCCGCTAACACCGTCTGGACACCATGTGGGAGACGACTGATCCATATGGTCTTTAGGAAGTCGTCCGGAACGTCGATACCAGCCAGTCCCTTTAAATGGCGAAGAAATTGGGAGGGCTTCCGATCTCCTAGCTCCTCATGCATCAACAACTGCTTCAGCTTATTTTCGTTTGATGCCGTCAATGAGCTCAGCCTTGAGCTTGTCATATTTCTGCGTCGCGGGAGGACTTATAATAATATCCTTCACCTCTCTAGAATATTTATTGTCCAACTGGCTGATGACATAATTGAATTTTGTAGCGTCGTTGGTAATGCCGGAAATTGAAAATTGTCCCTCCACCTGAGCGAACCATATTTCCGGTTCTTCGGGCCAGAATGGTGGTACACGGACGGATACTTTATAATCCTCCGTCGCGACTTGCACGGGAAAATTCTCGTCCGTCAATATTCTCGTCAGCAGTGACAATGGAACTGCGCTCTCCGCGTTCCTCAGCGCCATATTGCGTGCCTTCTTGTGCGTCTTGGAATTCTTTATTCATGTTTAAATACGGGGTCACCAGTTTGGGCTTCTTATTAGTGTAGATATAAAATAAAAGTTCGACTTACGGTTGATATATATATTGTCCCAACACGTAAATACAGTTACACTTAGATAGGAAGAAAGTATATACAGTAGAAGGAGAAGAAAGTCACAAGCACAGTAAAGAAATAAGCACAGAATGAATATAAGCACTAATGAATAAGGTGATATAAATGAGAATAAGCAGAGCAATATCAATTACAGTACGGCCGATTTATCAAGCGAGTAGCGAGCGTTCCGCGTCATAGATAGTTCTCGACTGGTTTGGTAATATCGAATTGAATGTGCGCTCGCGCTGTTGGCCGGTTCCTCGGCGCTAGTCAGCGCGCAAAACCTACATAGCGAACAAAAGAGTTGTGACGTCAACCTCTTATTGAGCGTTTCCACTGCAATTGTACTAGACGAACCGGTACGGTTTAATATTGATAAAGTGTAAATAAATATTACGTATATATTTATGTATAAGTATATGTATATTGTATATAATTAAGGTTATTATTATTAAATAATTGTATGTAATAAATATTTGTAAATAACTATAAATAAATTTATGAAACTGTGTATTTATGTGTGGGAATCGCCTACAATTCTATTAAAAGCGTAGATGTCTTATGCACAAAACTTTATCTTATTTATCTTAGGTGAGCACTACACAATTAAATTAAAGAATTTCTTTCACTAAAAATAAAAATATCACAATAGCCATAGACTCGACAAGTGGATATTGTAAAAGGAATTGGGGTAGAATTGGTGATGGATATTATTAAAAAAAATCGTCAAACTTAAAACCCTCAATTATCTAATTAGGTTATATATGCGTATTATATTACTTTTGAAAAACTATTATTGTATCACTGACTGTATATTTGTCATATACATAGAGTCTACAATCCTTATCCTTACTAATATTATATATGCAACACTAACTCTGTATGTCTGTCTCGCATTCATGCCAAAACTACTGAGCCGATAAATGAAATTTGGTACACATACTCTAGATCCTAAGAATGGACATAGTTTACTTTTCAATGTGAAAAAGGGTTATAAAGGATTGAAAGGTTGTATCTAAGTATCTTCATTTTGAAAGCTAAAAGCTTCAAACTTAATTTCAGCTGTTGATTAAATATAAATAAATATGGCATTCAGTTTGTGAAAAAATTATCCCTAAAGGTGTAAAATGTAATAGGGCATGAAAGTTTGTTTGGAAATTAGTCATTTTTGAAGCTAGAACGATTAAACTTTTTTCTTTTGATTTTTTGGTTATTATTTATTTAGGTATATGTCAAGGTTCCACGCAGACGAACTCGCGGGCACAGCTAGTAGATATATATGAATAAAGATATTTTATTTTGATACGGTCAACAATTCGGTTAATTTTAGAACCCTTCCTTTTTGTATTCCGTAAATAACATTTATACAACAACTGGTTAGGTTTGAAGAGATGTTTCTGGAGTAGCCTGACGGGTGAGACCTACATTTGTCAATGTTGGCTAAGAAATAAAATATTTATAATGCATCCCAAACGCCAACTTTCATGTTAGAGATACATCTAGGACGTTACGTAAGGCCAGTGTTTCTCAATCTTTGTCTCTACCATGTGATTATTTAAAAAAATCGTTTATTCATGTTGTCAAATTCTTTGTATTACAATTTTTCCCTACAATTCAGTTCAGTATACAGATTCGACTGAGAAGAACGGGCAAGAAACTCAATTGAATTTCTTTATTTTTGAAAACCAGTTTATATGTAGGTGTCCATGTCTAACATTAAATGAAAATCCCGTGCATGAACAACTATTGTCATGATTTTGCTAAGTAAATATGATTAAAAAGATTTAATTTTTCTCACGATTGCAATATTTGATTATAGAACGTTGTGGCCTATTGGTTTACTATTCCTAGAAAGCCGATCCAATATGGCCGACACAAATCAAATGAATATCCAATGATTTATTTGAAGAATACATTACTTACAAGTTTAAAAAAAACAATGTGTGTCCACGATGAAAGAAACATAGATAACAAAACTAAAATTTGATCCGAGAGACTGTGGTAGTTTCGCTCACTGCCACGTTGGATTAAAATTGTACCTAGTGAAATGTCATCATCATCATCATCATTTCAGCCCGGAAGACGTCCACTGCTGAACAAAGTCCTCCCCCAAATATCTCCATGACGATGTCAAGTGTTGTGATAATTGAGAGTGTCTTTGAATGCTCTATCCGGTATAATGATAGTGATATGTTTGTATGTATTTAAAAAAAAGTAAAAAGTGTAAGAAATAAAAGAATATATATGCCTTTTACAGACCATTATCAGTCCGCAGGCCACAGTTTGGGATCCACTGACTATAAGATATATTCTGTCGAGATGTGGGACAGACTATAAAAAATGCTAGTTACTCTCCACCGGTCGTCTTCTAGCAGTCTGAAAGGGAATTTAACTATTCTATTTTATAATAATACTAGCCACATTCAGACACAGACACACAGTTTCGCGTGCAGTTATTGTAGGCTCCTCTCAAGCTGAACATACATAAATACGGTACATGCACCAAAATAACATTTTTTATAATTTTTGTCGGTCTGTCTGTTTGTTCCGGCCAACCTCTGGCTAATAGCTGGACCTATTTTGATGGGACTTTTATTGGCAGGTAGCTGATGTAATAAGGAGTTTATTAGGGATTAGACCAGTAGACCTTGGACTACTTTTATTTTAGAAAAATAAAGTTAAATTCCACGTAGACGAGTACAGTTAGTGGATATATATATATTATATACGTATAATATCTCATGTGTTATATATATCTATCTTATTAAATATGCTTTATATTTGATCATCTAAATATATATATATAACTCAAAGGTGACTGACATAGTGATCTATCAATACACAGCCCAGACCACTGGACGGATCGGGCTGAAATTTGTCATGCAGGCAGATGTTATGACGTAGGCATCCGCTAAGAAAGAATTTTGATTAATTCTACCCCCAAGGGGATAAAATAGGGGATGAAAGTTTGAATGAAACTTTGTTAATTTTAAACCGATCGGGCTGAGACTTTGCTTGCATAAAGCTACTATGTAGTATACTATATATACGTAGGCATCTCCCAAGAAAGGATTTTAATAAATTCCACCCCTAAGGGGATAAATTAACGCGAGCGAAGCCGCGGGCAAAAGCTAGTATAATAATAAATACAATAATGTTAAGTTTAAGATTGTATCTTAAACTTACATTATAAGTTTCCTTCTCCTTTTCTATGTATTATATTTTCTGTATCTATCTCCCCATTAGCTGCTTTAAGTTCTATACGGTTCTTCTCTACTCCTCTCTCCTATTCTCTTAGAAATCCTTAAAACCTCCTACTTTCAAAAATTAAGTTACAGTAAAGTAAATTGATGCAGTTGCTCATAATCATATATCGATAGGCTACTAACCTGACCTCATTATTATGTTCCACCACTGGTGTCCCGCCACCATACACCGTTAGCGCAAGCAGGAATATCATTTCATTATCATCTAGTAAAATAACTACAAATTATTGAAAACTACAAAGAGAGTGTTCTAGCTACCTATTAGATAATTTATTCAGAAACGTTGAAGAATTGACGTCATATCTGTTTAATTTCTAACTGTAATGAAAATTTGAAAGAAAATATCTTTCAACTTTTCATTACAGTTGCAAATAAACATTTATTTTTAAGTTACAATAGTTTGTTAAAGAATTAGAAAATTAAAATACTTTCAATACTTTTTTTTTTACTTGTTCTGATGTAAGATTGAATAATTCAACATTTTGATAGAAAAATTGGAATATTTAAAAGTGATAGGAGAGTGTTGCTGGGCAATAATACAAAGTCGGTTGAGACAATAGATGTATATTATACAGATAATAATAGACAGACAATATGTACATAAAAATATTGATCTTATATACTAAATGACAATAAGAAAACGTAAGGTGGGGTGACACAGTTTAGACACAGCAGTGCTTAGTACATAATATTGAGTTTGTCTTACTAGCTATATTTAATATATTAAAATAATTGCAATCAATTATATTAATGTATAATTAATTGCATTATAGGTAACTGTGTCCCATAGTACTATTTTAAAAATATTGGTTGAAGATAATCGTTGAAAAAGGTACGCAGAAATCAGTAATGTGCGAGATTGTTGCTCTGTGCAATCCTTCTGTCCCAGTAGTATAGTTTACAAACTATTAATACAGCATCGTTGGTCAAGTGGTTTAGCACACCGCTTTACTTCCAATGGTCGCGGGTTCGTTTCCTCACACGGTGCAAGCAAGTGCCAGTGTTTTCGATGTATATTAAGTATTAAAATAATGAATCTAAATATTTAATATTATTTAGTACCTATAATATAAGCTCTGCTTAGTTAAGTATTTAATAAAGCAATGCAAATTTGTTATTAATGGGTTACTATATCTATATATAATAATAATAATAATAATAATAATAATAATCTCAGGACAATTCACACAGCGCCGTCTAGACCCAAGTTAAGCTAGCTAAAGCTTGTGTTATGGGTACTAGACAACT